CAGTGTGTGTCAGCTCTCTCTCTCTCTGGGCTGTCACCAGTGTGTGACAGTGTCCTCGCTCTCTCTCTGGGCTGTCACCAGTGTGTGACAGTGTCCTCTCTCTCTGGGCTGTCACCAGTGTGTGACAGTGTCCTCTCTCTCTCTCTGGGCTGTCACCAGTGTGTGACAGTGTCCTCTCTCTCTCTCTGGGCTGTCACCAGGGTGTGACAGTGTCCTCTCTCTCTCTGGGCTGTGAACAGTGTGTGACAGTGTCCTCTCTCTCTCTGGGCTGTGACCAGTGTGTGACAGTGTCCTGTCCTCTCAGGGGTGCAAAACAAGCGAACGGTGGTAGCTCATGTCTCTGATAAACGGAACGGGCGCCTGGCGCTTGTCGTTCGGGCTGCAGGCTGATGGGGAGCATGGCCCTGTCCAACCACTACCGCTCGGAGGACCTGCTGGACATCGAGACGGCGGCCGGGGGCTTCCAGCACCGCAAGGGCATGAGCAAGTGCCTCCCGCTGACCTTCTGCTTCCACACGGGCCTCAGTCAGTACCTGGCGCTGGAGAGCGTGGAGGGCCGGCACCGCGATGAGATCTTCTACCACTGTCCGGTCAGAGACGCCACCACCGCTCAGGGCAGCAGCTCGTCAGGGACAGTTAGGGGTGCAGTACGGGGGTGTGCAGAGGCTCTTCCCTTAAAAAAGAGGGCGTCCCCCAATGGTTGAAACTGAAGAGAATCCCCGTTTTAGCAGGGACCTTGTGGCTCAAAGATGACCCCCCAGAACTTGGGCAGCACAGAGTGTTCTCGTCCTGTAAGGGCAGCACATAGCACAGGGGATCCTGCTCTGATCAGTGCGCCGGTTAACCAGCGGGTCTGCCTTCGATATTTTATTTTCATTTTATTTCAGATTTTATTTTCAGTCTGTGGCAGCAGAGTTTTCTGTCACAGCGTCTCAGTCTTTTTTTTGTTTTGCTTTTTGGTTTTATTTGGACTGAGAGTGATTGCTGGGGAAAAAAGGCCTCTCCAAACAGAAAAAGCTAGAAAACTCCGGGTGTATCAGAATGGAGAGTTTTTCAACAAGTACAGCAGTCTTTTTCTTTAAAAAAAAAAAAAATCCACTGTTCTGGTTTAGATGCAACGATACAGCTTATTTATTGTCAAGAGTTTCTAGAAAGCCAGCATGACTGTGTTCCTTGACAACTAAGACTAAAGTGCAAATACAATGGTAGTTATGTCCTTAAATCTGGACGCTATCAAGGAAACTGAACATTTTCTGAATTCCAAATATACAGACATTATTCTTAAATTCCCCTTCCAGAATCTGTGTTCTGTACTGTGCTGTTGTCTCTTTTTACTTGAAAGGCAGAGTCGTTAGGGAGCTACTAGAAACATTACCTCTTCTTCCCACTAGAGGGCATAGCACTTATTCAGTTTATTGGTTGTGATGCTAGATGTATTTGAAGGCTAATGTTTTGTGTTACAGTGGAAAAGTTCTTCATGGATTAATGATCCTAAAAATGCTCTCTTCTTTTTTTTCAGGATCAAATGGCGCAGGATCCTTCTGCAATTGACATGTTCATTACAGGTGGGATGCGGATCTGATTTTCATTCCATCTGACTTCATCACTTTCTAATTGTGTTCATTATTGACTTTAGTTAAGCAGCCTCCGTTTGCAAAGTCTTCACTCATCAAGGCCTTTTAAGTTGATCAGACAATGTGGTCAACCGTGGCTGTCCAGCACCAGGAGTCAGCACGTTGGTTTTGAAAGGCTGATGACAGTGTTTGCCTGAAACGTTGGCTAATAGTAGTTTTTAAGAGGGGAAAATTGCCTAGCGATACGGAGGGCCAGTAATGGAGAATTTCTAGTTATTTCACAAGATAAGTAATATTGTAATGTTCAGGGGAGAAAAGGAAGGAATTGTAACCAGGCCTCCTGCCTAAAGAACACTGTGATCTATTTTGTAGTCATGGCGACTGCAGGGGTGGAAGTCTCTCGACTCGAGAGCCTGTTGATTGTACTTATGTTTTTTATTAACATACAAAGGATGTTTGTTATCGGGGGGGGGAAAAAGTTGCCAGTTATCTCAAAACCTCAAGTATTAAAAATATAAATGAGTATAAAGTCTGTTATTTATCAGTCTTTTGCATCTTTACAGAGGGTATAATGTGTAAAGTCAGGCTCGTTAGGTTCTAGAAATAATCCACCTCTCCCCGTATCTCTCAAAAACTTCCTTCTGGAATCCTAACCGAAAGGTTAATTTTTCCATTTCATAAATCTCTGAAACAATAACAGTCCAGTTTTCTTTGGTTGGGGGGCGGGGGGGTCTCTTTGTAACCATTTATGTGTTATAGCTTTCTTACGTGCTGACACGAATGCTCCTAGCAAGTATTGATCTCTCCCCACAACCTCGTCAGGCAGATTAGCCCAGATACAGAACTGAACAAGACTTTCGGAGAGACTGTTGAGTTTGAATCCGTGCTTGTGTTTTTAGAAAGAGAGGCGCAAAGGAATCTGGACCTGCTTTCTGCCTGCTTCATTTTTACCGCACCAGTTTTGTTACAAATGAACACTGGCACCAGCCTGCAGATACTTCCCGAGTATCTTGAAATACAGCAAAATTGTGGCTTGTGGAATAAGGCACAGTCCGAGTGGTGCCTGAAGAGTGGGTAATGGGCGGTTTTATAATCAGCACAAGGGCTTACGTTTACAGCGGTCGTGACCTGTACAGTACAGGATTGATCTGACTAATGCATTGACAATGAACGTGTGATTTTATTATGTCCTCCTCTTGCCCAAATGACCTCCAGCCATCTGTATCCTGTTACTTTCACAGGATCAAGCTTCACTGAGTGGTTCACCAGTTATGTGCACAATGTGGTGACGGGAGAGTTTCCAATAATCCGAGACCAGATTTTCAGGTATTTCTCAGTCGTACACAATAAGGGCTCTTACACGGAACTTGCTGTAAAAATCTTGCCAGAGGCCTTTATTTTCCTGAAGCCACTCGGCTTTGGTCTGAATTGCATTTGGATGTGCCTGTTGTTCATTCTGCCTTCTCGGTTTGGAGCAGGCTGTTCATCCTCCTTTTTCCGAAATCCCCTGGCCCTGCTCCACTAGGTGGTTATGTTGATGTGCCTTTGAGCCAAGGAAATACTCACTTGTTACTTCTCTTCAGCTTAGCCTCTTGATGGCTGTCATGCCAGACCTCTTCATTCCTTGGATTCCTTCGTGCTTTTTTTCTTTCGTGGTCTTGCAGAAAGAGGGAAGCGCGTGGTAGAAGCCGAAGTGCAAAATGCACCCGTTTGTAAGCTTATGTAGGCAATAGTAGGCTGTACCATCCGGTGCGGCGTGGTGCATGTCTTGAAAGAAGATAACCGACCTGCAAGCGCCACGCATCGTCCAGTACTGACAGGCATGTACTGGGGAGGCCTGGCCAGGAGCCTCAGCAAGATGACTTGAAGACATGAAAAGAGATTAAAAAAACCCATGAGAACGGGACATGGGATTTACAGCAAATTGTGTATTTTAAAATGCCAATGAGAGCAGGGTGACGCAACACTGCCTCAATCTCTGCTTTCCCTCGCTCTCTCTCTCTCTGTCTCTCTCCCTGCCTGTGTCCCCAGGTATGTCCATGACAAGGCGTGTGTGGCGACCACAGGGGACATCAAGGTGTCCGTGTCTACCTCTTTCCTGCCCGAGCTCAGTTCTGTGCACCCCCCCCATTTCTTCTTCACCTACCGCATCAGGTGAGCCCGGCCCCCATCCCTCCGCCGGTCCGTGGGCACAGCCGCCGACACACTGCGCCGCGTCTGCAGGGTGGATTTTGCGTGCGGCGGGGGAGTTGTCTCGTTTGGTGTGTGTGTGTGTGTGTGTGTGTGTGGGGGGGGCAGCGGTGGCGCCAGGCTCGAGCCGTAACCTCTGTGGCGTCTCCTTCGCGGCAGGATCGAAATGTCCAGAGACGCCTTGCCGGAGAACGCCTGCCAGCTGGACACCAGGTACTGGAAGATCACCAACGCCAACGGGAACGTGGAAGAGGTGCGCGGCCCAGGTGTTGTGGGTACGTTGTGATCCCGTGTTTCCCCTCAAATCCTGGATCAGGGGTCCGGTTGGAAGTTAGAAAGTTGGGCCGCCGATGGGCCTAGACGTCAGGCCCTCTGCGTACGCCGTTACCGTAGGAACTTGGCAGAGTCGTGGCTGCCATTTTTAACTTCTGTTTCCACAGCGGTATGGCATCCAGACCTCGAATAGTAGAGGAATTTATTGTTATACATATGTGTACACTGGAATTCTTATTCGCGCCAATCACTCAGGACATACACACTGCAGGAGACGGCACTGTACGACACATAACGCCACACATCGTAGACGGCCCATACCACAAGCTGGTACGTAAAAAAATAGCAACAAGGAGTAACAAGAGGCACCTGAAAGTGGTCTTGTAGAGAGGGGGGAAGCTGAAACGTGACACAGGGGTGTTGGGGAGAGGATGCGAAGATCTATGTGTTACCATGGATTTCGGCAGAACATGGATGATGGAGCATTGTCAGATTTTTTTGGGTTCGAGAGACCCTCGTTGGACGAGGTTTAACGTGCGTCATTTTCAGTGCTTAAACTTTTAGGTTTCAGCTTCACTGTGAAGTTCTGTAACAAACCTAAAACCTGCAACCTTTTAGCAGCTGAAAAGGGTGACGCGTGTCCGGTTAAGGAAATAACAGAGAGGACGGTTGCAACAGAAGCCAGCACACCTTGGGGTCACCAGGGTCTGCGACGACCCTTTTCGGCGGGGGTGTTGCAGTGGCTGGGCTTTCGTGTGACCTGCATGACCTCTGCCCTCTGCCCTCTGCCCCCGCCCACAGGGGAATTTCCTGTCATGACACCGGGCAAGGTGCACGAGTACGCCAGCTGCACCACCTTCTCCACCACCTCCGAGTACATGGAAGGGCACTACACTTTCCACCGGCTCAAGAACAAAGAGGAGGTCTTCAACGTCGCTATCCCGCGCTTCCACATGGTCTGCCCCCCCTTTCGCAAGTCCGTGGTGCGGATGGTAGGTTCTCCTGGGGGGGGGGGGAGATGAGCAGGAGGAAACCAGTATATCCGATCTGAAAATGTCCTGCAAGCTCGCTACAGTTGCCCAGTGTTGTCTGCTGGTTAAAGTAGTAGCAGTCGAAGAGCTGGGAGGCTGAACTGTTAAACTGGTCCGGTTCAGCCAGTGATGGGCTGATTCGGGTTGTTATGAGCCCAGCTGGAGTGAAAACCCGGAGGCACACTCTGGCCTTCCATGTCCGGGACTGGGAATCCCTTCTTGAAGTGCTTAAACCAGTGACGGGCAGCTCCAGTCCCGACTTTCTCATTGTCGTTACTTTATTGAACTAGTTAAGGGCGTCATGGTGGTGTGATGGGGCGCTCTGGGGTCCTGGGTTCAGTTCTGATCTGGGGAGCGTTCTGTGTGAACATTGCATGTTTTCCATGTGTCTACATGAATTTTGTCCAGATTCTCTGGTTTCCTTCTTCCTCCTGAGAACATTCTGGCTAGGTTAACTGGAGCCTGTACATTGTTCCTGTGTGTGTCCTGTGATGGACTGGTATCCCATCCAGGGTGCAATCCTGCATCATGCCCAAAGCATCTAGGATAGACTCTTGCTTTCCGAGACCCTTATAGGAATACACAACTCTCTGATGATGGAGGAGGTGACAAATTGGAGAAGATATCTGTTAAATCTTGTAGGTTTTAGTTTGAAAAGCACCTGCAAAATGAATGCCAGGGCTGGAGTTGTTTATACCAAAATTAACTTAAAACATCCTCGTTGTTCATTGCTCCTTAAGAAGTAAAACCGACTCTGTTTTGCCAATCAGTACTTGTTCCTTTTCGAATAATAGTGACTTGAAACGGAGAAAAAATGAAGCTGCCCAGAATCCTCTGCAAGAACCGTTCTTCTGCCAAATGTTGTGACATTCACTGCATGTCGAGAACGATGGCCAATATTTCTGGAGTGGTTTTCTCACTTACAAGAAAAACGTTCCAGGGAAGCCATTTACTGAAAACTCAGCTGGCTGATGCCTTCTGGGATTTAAATGACTCTTGGCGTTAGGGATGGTTAATATGCACAAGTGCAGCGCAGCCCTTTTCACCTGCAGTGATCTCCTGTTGTGTGTATGTGCTTCCTGCCAGCAGGGCCTGGCGTCGGAGGCGTCCAGCGCACTGTGCAATGAGGAGGACCACTCTTCGGACACCGAGGACTACGACGAGAGCGACCGGGGGGTTCTGAATATCCCCACCCCTAGTGGGCGCTGTCCCCGCCACATCTGATGCACTTTTCTCTTCTTTGATTTCACGGCGAGACTTTTGAGAGACAGGACAGGGGCTGCAAAATTCTGCCTCAGTCAGCTGTTCCTTTCTAACATTGTGCTGACCTCAGAATTTCCTCCTGGAGCCCCGAGACTTTCCTTCCAACTCCCTGTGTCGCCAGGCTTCATTTTAAGGGCGTGTGGTGGTTTTAGTTATTTGTTTTTTTTTAATGAAGAGACCTGGGACCGAGTGTTTTCCACTGCGGGAATAATGGGTATTATGTTCCAGTGCCAGCTGGCCTCAAAGCATTTGTCCAGTACAGTGAGATTTATTTTGCAGAGTGTGTTTGCAGACAATAACATTGAAAGGCAGCTAGGATTGGGCGTTGTTCTATCCAAATACGTTTCTCTTAAAATATGAAGCAGGGCACCATAATAGTGAAAACAGTGAATAGTCAACAATAGGAGATTAACTGTTCCCATTTAGGTTTGTGTAGACTCGATAAATAGGTTTTCCAATATCGGTGTTTTTTATTTATTACGTGTGCTGGTCAACAGCTTCATATATATTTGCCCGCCTTAGACTGCAGGATCAGAAAACAGAGACATGAAATGCATTATTGTAATGAATCATTGCAGTCTTTTGCCTTATGATGCATTCTTTTCCAAACGCTGGTTAGTGGAAAGAAAATGTTTTAAATAATGTATTCGACACGTCTTGAAAACCGTTTTTGTTCTGCTGCACTCTCGCGTCACGGCATCAACAGTAACACTGACAAGTACATTTTATTTTATTAGGGTAAAAGCTGTCTATGTAATTGATTTAAACCGATATCTTGTTTTTTCTTTTTTGCATGCAGAAAGTTACCACTCCGACTGAATGACGGTCAGTTTTCTCTGCTTCCCAATTACTTAAAATAAGTTAACAACATCCTCAAGTGATGTCTTGCCAAGCTGTAATGGATTAGGTTACACACATTTACTTTCACGGACTCCTAAGTGAATGTGATTGTGGCCAGGGGGTGACTCTGATCCACACCAGACTTTCATAACAACCATGAGCCATGTGAAGGGAGGACACTCTTGCAAATTTGCTTAATGTGGTTTGCATTAAGTATTTTTTTCCCTTTTTGCGGTTCTGTTTTTGTGTCTCAGCTCCTAAAATGATTTAAATGAGTCATTTGACTCACAAGTAGCTGTAAGTTTCTAAAAAAAGCTCTGTGGTATTCGTGATTAAAAAAATATTCCATATTTAAATGGGAACAGCAGCTCATTCCCCTGTTAGATGAGGCTGGGGTTATACTATTTTTTTTTGTTGTTTTCTGTCGATCACATTTAACCCATGGCTCTATGATTAAAAAAAAAAAAGGAATATGACATTTGGATCTAAAAAAGGAAAATAACATGCAATTAGATATCTGTGGTGCAAACAGGAAAACATATTTCGTAGATAAAATAGAATAGCCTAGCCCACATGCTGAGAATGGTCTAAACTACAGTTTGGCCCATATTATCCCAGTAGATAATGCGTTATGCCAAATATTTATTTTATCCAGTGAGCCGGAAATTAGTAGTTCTCCCCTAAAATAAAGATTCAGATGAAGTAAGTTATGATGCGTCTTGATTTTCCTAATCTACTAAATCAAGTCATGTGAAATTAAAAAAAGTGCTCTGCAATATTGAAGTGATTCCCAGCTTTGCCCTGTCAATATTTCCGCCTCTGAACCTCTGAATTCAGCGCAAATGAAGTCAGCATTCATAGTGCAGCATTGACATATTTTACTGATATAATTGCACAAGAAAAACCTTTAACCACGCATTTGTTATCATCCAGATGAAAATGAATTGTTCAACTGGGGAAAGAGTTCGGGTGCTTTGTCACATGGGTTGCCATGATGTAACGTTTTCCCAGTTTTTCTGTTCCAGGCAGTTCTGGCTCTGTGATTTTTTTCCAACACCATTTGTTTTCCATTCGTCCTGTAACGGCCCTACGTTTTTCGGAGAAAGGACGGTGTTGCTCTTTCGTTATAGCTGTGTTGTAATAGTTCTGCGAGACACAGACACCCCAGGGGTCTCTACTGATGTACTGATGCTTTGCAATGAAGAGCTATCGCCACATGCTTCTCCAGCCCCTCCTCCAAAAAAGACAACAAATGACTCATCTCAGTTTGTAAATAGATAGGAATAGATATAAAGTGTTTTTTTTCTTTGGGATAAGACAAAAAAGTTTGGGATAGGAACAGTGTGGACATTTTTCAGGACGTCTTGATTTTTGTGAGGCAGGGAAAAGATTCCATGTCATCATTTTGGTTTATTTCAGGACTCAAATGACTGTTTTCGAGTGACTGTGTGATTAACTGTGCACATCTGCCTCAGGCTACTTTCAATCAGTTATGCTACCCACTTGAGGTGATCTGTTTAATTTTGACACATACACTTGTTTGGTATGAGAAATATTTTTCTTTTTGTGAAGGTTGTGCAATAGCTCTTCGGGCTGAACTTCACAAGGACTGTCCGCCTCTTATGAAGCAATTTGACATTTTGTTCATTATCACTGTTTTTATATATAACAGATGTTTTGATTTTCTATGTTGGGGAATAAATGCGCTATGTTTAAATCTTTGAAGGTTTCCCTGTTCTTTCAAGCAAGATGACTGTAATATTAAATACAGTGCTAAATGTAGTTTTTAATTAAAAAAACAATTTTGTATGACGTTTCTAAACAAGGGGACATAACCGTTTTACCAAGCTTTAGAAGTTCAGAAATGTGTTTTGGGGGTTTTTAATATATTTCTCACAAACATTGCTATCTTTTTTGTAAAGAACGTACAGTATGTACAGTTTGTATAATAGCACTTCTTGCCACCCCTAATTCTAAGGCCCGGTCCGGAGCTGGAATTCAATTTTAATTGCTGAAATGAAAATTGCTGTTTTGTGCATCATCCATGCTTTTGAAACATCTAGATGTTTATCTGGAGACATGGGCCTTACATTAATCACCAACAAAGGGCTTTCATTTGAACTGGAAGATCTAAACAAAAACATCACTTGTTCTTGCGAACAAATGTCCTTATAAAATCTGGCCTGGTCCTTTTTTTTCCCCTCTTCAGTTTGTATGTATATGGCCAGATTGAATGCGTTGCTTATAGAATGCAAGTGTTCTTTGTCTTTAACTCTCCACTGTTTCATTGTTTGTCTGAGTTCTCCATGGCCAGTACTAACACTCCAGTGGGGGGGACAATGGACTGATAACAAAGATGCAACACAGCTTGAGCCAGAACAGCTACTTATATTTAGAACTGGTCTCAGGTTTTTATGCACCACTTTGAAACCTGTAATTAAAATATTTCCACAATGCTTTTTTGATATACAGTATATGTGCTGCGGAAATAGAAAGTTTCTCTTAACGGCGTTTGTCAACAAACTTTTAAACACGTTGTGGTGCAAGTGCAGGGTCTTAACCCTGAAGCAGGCTTCACCTGTTTTGTGTTGGCTGTAAAAGTGAAATTTCAATCGGGGGTCCTATATGCATATGGGACGTTTCGATTGTAAGAAACCTCTGAAATGTTGCACGTGAAGGAAATGCATGGCCCACTTACAGCAGCTTGTAGCTCAACGATCAGAGGGTCTCATCCAGATGTTTTTCAGAAAAAAAGCCAGGATATCAGCTTTAACAGAAAGGCTGGTTAGCTAGTTTCAGAACCCCAGAAATGTTTTGTCCTGTGCTGCTCTGTTTACTGATCCCTGGCTGCAGAGTAAATAATATGAAAAGTGTAACAGTTAACTTTTCTCTGTGAAGGGATTCGTAGTAAAAGGAAGACGTACTTGCAGGACAGCTGTAAATTCCATTTTGAACAGTTCAGTTTATCTACAGCACAATTGAAGTTCAATTTCAGTTTTAAACAACATCTAAATGTTTTTTTTTTCCCAGCGGAAACCATGTTTCCAACCATTTTCAAAGCAATTCTTCCAATTCGGGGTTACAGAGGCGTTGGAGCCTATCCCAGCCAGCAGAAGGTACACCTGTACGCCACAGGGCACCCACACAGACACAAACACACTCACACCAGGGCCGATTTTCCCCAGAAGCCAATTAATCTAAAAGTATGTTTTTGATTAGAGAACATACAAGCTCCACACAGATAGCATCCCAGGTCTGGATTTAAACCCAGGGCTCCAGTTCTGTAAGGGAGCAATGTTAGACACTGCGCCACCAGCTTTTATTCAAGTACAGCGATACTGAATTGTAGATTTTGATGTCATCCACCTTATATCTCTGTTCAATCAACAACTACATAAGTCTATAAACTATGAAGCCTAAACTCTGGTACCATGTACCCATGATATAAAAAGATAAAATGGCGGCAGAAATTTGAGCCAGAAAAAACAATGTCACTACAACAGATCTATTGAGGTTAGCCCCAATTCTTTGTCACTGTAGGAGAAGGCAAAGTACAGAATATTTGTGGGCACTGATACACAGAATCCTATTGTTTGTCTTCCAGCTGTGAAATGCAAATTGATGTCCTCATAATTAAGCTTTTGTACCATCCAGCTACTTAGTGAAGGCTCCTACTGACTTCTGCCCACAAAAAAAATTGAAAAATGTTTTTTAAGCTGCATAAAATAGGGAGGGACAGATATTTTTAGCATGACAGCGCGTTGGTATCTGAACTCAAGGCTGCATGGGTGTCTATGCATGAACAGTGCAGGGCTGCTGGTGTCTTGGTAAACGTGACCTTCATTGCTGCTTTTCAGTGTCTGGGAATCGTAACATTTTCTAGCCTACATAGCTGATGGTCAACATTGAGGAAAAAAAAGAGAATCACTTGATTGGCCATATTCAATTTCTTGCATTAGGAGTTTGTCTTTTTCAAGTTCCCCAGCTTGCTCTCCATGAGACACGCAGACAGGGAGAGAAGCTGGGGGTCAGAGCACAGCCATTTATACAGCACCCCTGGAGCAGTTGGGGTGAAGGACCTTGCTCAGGGGCCTAATGGAGTAGGATTCCGCTACTAGCTGCGGGATTTGAGCCAGCAACCTTCCAGCCACAGGTGCAGATCCTTAGCCACAGAACCACTGCCCCACCCATTGTTAGCCTGCAAGTCTTTTGAGCACAGTAAAATCATGCAAGCCTGACTCTAGCAGGACGTAGTGTGATGTCTGACCAGAACACTATAGACCAAATCAGACGCACAAATGTCTTCTGAGGGGAATGAATTGTCGCTTAAACACGTAGCGGTTTCCCTTTTCCAGAAAAAAAAGAAAACACTTTTGCAGCCGGGTTCCAACACAACATTGAATGAGTGTAGATTAATGGATGAATGCCATTGAATGTGGACTAAAAAACATAAATTCATAAATGCAGCACACAGGCGTTTCCACTACTCAGCATCTGGTGCTGAACTAAACCCTGCCAGCGTGTTTAAGGTTTATTAGAGAACGAAGATGTACAGTAAGACTCAGCCTATATACTTATTTATATATTTTATTTCTGAACTTACTTTGATCTTTTCTTTCTTCTCTTTTTTTGGAGACGGTGGGGCATCACCATCAGAACCGAAGCTGTAATTGGACGGGGAGCCGAGGGAGGAGCGAGGTGGCCTTTGGCGGAGAGGGTGTAAGACTATCGCGGGATCACTGGCTCCAGTTGGATTTGTGCTACTTGACCGACAACTGAAGGTAAGGGGGGAAATCTTTTTTTTTTATCTGCTTTGGAAATTGCTGCGCTTTTAAGAATTCTACGTTGACCTACAGTCCTTGCAAAAAAATGGATAACATTGCGTGGTGTTATTTTGTTTTCTGAGAGGTCTCAGATGGGGAAAAATGTGTGGGATAATGCGTTGTTTCGCAGTAATTTTTGCGTCGTTACGAGATAATAACACCTTCATTTTGCAGTGCAGGCTGAAGAAAAAGTAAATGAGAAAATAACGTCGGAACCAAGACAAATGGCACACTTACGCGTTAAGTTGTATTGAAGCATGTTTTTGAAGACTGCCCTCGGGCAACAGGTCCCGTAGTGCAAAACGAGAGCGCAAGCTTCGCTCCCAGCCAGGTGGAAGAGAGGAGTTTAAATTTCCCTCACTGCGAGGCTACCTTATGCGTTCATATCACTACCGCTGCCTTGTCAATGTGTTCCTGCCAGGACGGTAGGAGCGACCAAAACGTCCTTCGAAAACAAGGGAGCGAACCCGGGCTCCTGCGAGTTGGGATCGCAAACAGTAATGCGATTGTCATGTTAATATAGACAAGTACAGCTAACAGCTCCCAGTTACCGTGTCACAGAGGCAGCTGGGTCATACATCCTCTCAGATACCCCAGCAGGAGCCAGCGGTTGGGCTGGAAATAAAATTGGATTGATTCCTTGCGACTGGGTGCTTTTTTTTTTGACTGGATGACTTCATCGCTTTGCAAAACTGTTACACATTCTTTTAATTGTGGTGCGATTTTATTTACAGTCCCCTTCACGTGTAGTAAGACCGTGCAATTTTTGCGACGTGCAAAAACAACGGAATAAACAGCAGAACCCACACACACATACACTATTAACGGCGCTTCTGGGGCTCTGCCTATGAACGTGCGGACAGGGACCGGTGCCAGTCAGTAAGACATGGGTTGAGAAACCAGGGTATTGACAACTTAACAGGGGGAAACGGGGAAAGTGTGTCGCTTGTATATTTTACACGATAAAATATTGTAGATTTTGGTTGCAAGTTCCCCAATTTGAATCGCAGAAGAAGAAAACAATATTATGTGAGATTCTCGAAAAGACTGCCTCTGATGCTCATATAGGCTAATTTCGAGATATCCATCAATGGAATACACAGGGCTAATACATCAATACGTCCCTCTTTCTTTCAGAAATCAGATCTAAAAGACGCAAACGGGGACCTGCAAGAATGAACAACACTTTGGTGATTGCGTTAGTTGTCTGCTTTGCGCTCTTCGGTCTTGGTAAGTCTCGCAGTTTTTGTAGTTTACACTGCTCAGGGCCGGACCAGAGAAAGGAGATGAAACTGCTCACCGATTCAATCCGTTTTACAGCTGACGAATCAACAGCGCATATTGACAGATCAATGTATTTGCTCGCGGTTGATGTTCTGTACTTTATTCAGTCATATGGTGGCGATTTTGACACGCTTTGACTTCGTGTGAAACCAAAATTTAATCATCTCTAACAAATAAAACACATTTTCCGCGTTTTATTTGTTAGAGTTTAAAATACAGTATGTCTACAAGGGGAGAATGGTCGGATAACTTAAATTATTTCCACCATCCCCGTAGGAAACGCCACTGTCTGTATCATTGTATCAGAGTGTTGTGGTGATTAATTAGGTTAAGAAGATTCATGATGTTTATCTTTTATTTATACAGCGCTACATAATCAATGCCGTCCCCCTATTTGTGAACTTTTAATTTTGCACTTTTATTTTTAAAAACGCCCTTAATCGTTTCGAATTACAGTAGATCCATATGTGTAAACACAAAGGTCATGATAAGGGGAAGAATAATGTTTCCAGGCGTTGACTGGCACAGATACAGTTGTAGATTATAGATTCTTTATACCAGCGGGGTCCAGAGCTGTTGCTGAAGACCTGCGGTGCTGCCTGTGTTACAGGTTTCCCTTCACCAGCCTGTAAGATCTTGCGAGATGCATGCGCCTTGATCATCTTTTTAAGCGTTCGTCAGTTAAATCAGAAGTCAGAGATGGAAAGCTGTGGTCCTTTGAGGGTTACATGTTTTGATATTTCTAATTACCTTTAAACTGAATAACAGTGCTACAGTCCTGCCTTTGGTGATTAAAATGACGTTATTACAAGGGTTTCGAGTTTAGGGTTTGAGTGATTAGCGATATTTTTGTCACTTAGGCACGGCTTCACCAACAATATGGGGGGTACTTACATTATTGCATAACGTTGTAGGTCAGGTTTGTCCAGCCCTGGTGATGCAGTCCAGCAGGTTTCACAGGTGACCACCAATTTCCAAAAGAGCCTGCAACAATTTTGCTATGATCAATACAACTGATCATGTGCTACATAATTTAGAGATCATTTGGAACATAAATTGGTACAGTTTATCCTTCAGCCCTTAAAGACTACAGTGTCCCTTTGCTAAAACATTGATTGCTTAATTGATCACTAATCTGTGATTAACTGGTGATTTCTTGTAAAATGTAAGAATAACAGGGCTCTTCAGGACCAGGACTGGTCAATACATACCAGTCAATACATCCTGGTCCACGCTGGTTCTGTGCATAATCTAACTATGAGTCTATTAAAAACTGTTCTAAGAGAGACCGCATTAGTCTGAAACCTGCTTCACTTTTCTGTTTCTCTTCTGCGTAATGAATAGGGTGGCTCATAGGCACAAGATTTTTTTGGTCTTTTATGGGTATCCATAATGACGTTGTTAAATGAAAATGATTTCAATTTGTACCTTTAGCCAAGCCTAAAGTATGCATTTACTGTAGTGGGCCTTTTCCATGTGTGTGGTGGAGAGGTGCTGTGGGGGGGGGGGGCTGTATCTGTGGCCCCAAATTGTCCTCATAGACCTTTGGACACCCCCAACCACAGAATTAACACCAGATTGCACAACCATGAGCAGCTGAAGTAAAATCTCTGCTATTAGTGAAATGGGATTTCACATCACTAGATTTCCCTTGGAGGGCCTCCGTTCAGCAAAAAGGGGGATGCCTACAGTTCACAGGTCTCCCCCTACTACGTTTCTTTATTTAGATATGGATTACGGAACCCAAAAGAAAGAATTAATGTTCCTTCCTCCTTTCTCTTCCAGGCTCTGCTCTCAGGTGCTACAAATGCACAGATTACTCTGGCCGTTGCACATACGTGCAGGACTGTACCTATGAGGATGCCTGTCTGACGCTAAAGGAAAGAGGTTAGAGTGATTTTGATTCTAGCAAGGCTTACATTTACACAGGCGTACCTTGAGAGAGCTGCTTTGTCCCAGTGCCCCCAGTTGTATGTGTGGGGACCAGCATGGCCAGGGGCTGATATCCCATCCAGGGGGGGTGGAGTCACACCCACTGGAGGTGGAGTCACACCCACTGGAGGTGGAGTCACACCCAGAAGGTGGAGTCTTGTGCTCTCTGTTCACGTAACACCTTGGCAACCAGGATGAATTCTGGTCCAGTAAGCCCCATTTACACACAAAGGTAAATAATATGATTAGCGACATTCTAGAAAAAAATCCCACCACTTTTTTGTTTTGCTTAAAATAACATGTGCTCTCAGTGCCCACAGAAATTAAAGTGTCAGGGTGTGAAGGAGTTGTCTCTTTTTGTCAGTTGTCTTGTTTGTGTACATTGGAGAGCATTATTCTGGTTTTATTCTGAATTATAGGCAAGGATTTTGAAAGAGTCACTCAGACACA